CATAGAACACTATTTGCTGATTATATAATTAAACTATATTTAATACATCATGGTTTTAACCAAAAATTATTTTGTTCTTTTGAACATGAAGTACTATTAAAATCATAAATAATATTCAACGTTAAACTGGTACACAATTAAAAACATTTTATTCAACTATAATTATGAAGTACTATTTTTGTGTGAATAATTATTTTATTATTTTCTCTGCTACTAGACCATGGAGTGCTGAATACAGAACTGAGGGGTCATACAGATGCAGTATGGGACCTTGCTGTACATACAGCCACAACACAGCTCCTGTCATGTGCTGCTGATGGGAGTGTTAAACTCTGGTCTCCACATAGTAAATCACCTCTTCTCAACACTTATACACCAGAAAATGGTCAGATTCCATCAAATTATTGGTTCCCCTACAATTGTTCTAGAATATTATTAGCTGTATGACCTCTATTATTATTTTATAATGTACACATTTGGAAAGTGTTTGAAATTTTAGAAAACCTTTGTAATTTTCAGAACATAAAAAGTTGAAACTTTGTTGCCAAGTGTTGTCTATCGTTTGGAAATTACATATATCAGGACACAAAATTACTGCTAGCAAGTTGCTGGTTAGTTTTGCTAATAAAACATAGATGGCAGTAGAAAAAATTGATAGGATGCATTGCAAAAGGAGATTTACAGATTCTTACTGTTAAATATCAACACACACCTGTAATACATTCACTTAAGTCATTTACATTCCAATATTCTGAGTACAGAAGGTTACTATAATTTTGTATTTAAATTGTAACTTTTGATAATAAAATACTTTGTCTAGTGTATGATAGCCATCAGGAGTATGGTACCGAAGACTCTGTAGATCAAGATACTTGTGGCCTAGATACACCAGTTTCCAACCAAACCAAACATCTTCTGGCTTTTTTGTAATTGTTAAAATATAAGCATTGTTATATATAATTAAAATAAGTTTTGATATTTGAAAATGTCACAAAAGAGGTCTACATATAAATAGGATACATATACATTTTCATCAAGATTTGATACATGAAACAATTATGATGCAGTTAGTTAATTTTAGAGAAAAATAATGTAAAAAAGTAACTAGTACCCATTTGCCTTCATAAGTTAAGTTTGAAACCTGATGTGTGTGTGTATATATATTTTATATGTATATAATTTAGATAATTTTTGTGTCTATGAGAACCTGGTAATTATCTGTTGTGAGATATGTGTAATAGAGATAAACAGTAAATTATGAAAATAAGTTTAGGATCTAGGAATTGTTTATAACTAAAGAGGAAATTAAACTGAGCCATCTACAAAACAGAATCTGAAATTAGACTTTGTGTTGGTTATGTGGTAGAACACTGAAGCTTAAATTATAAATGTTTGCATTGTGTTACTTAAATATGTGTTGTTGTTTTTTTCTTTTCTTTTGAGTATTATTGTTAAATTACTGTGTTTAATGTTGGACTATCTCAAGTAGAAATAATGTGGAAAAATAAGTTAGATCTCTTCTGCTAACTTAGTAGGTTAAGACTAAAAAAAAACGTTTAGGTCTTTTAGATGGGATAATTCATTAATGAATAAGTTAGACAGTTTTGTTAGTTCAGAAATTATAAGAATTTCACACTGTTTAGTAAGGTGTGTTGTAATAATAGAAAATAGTAAATCTTAGAATAAACACTGTTACAAAGTGCTGTTCATAATTTTATTTGCAGTTGAAGGTAATCCCACATCTGTTGATTTTGTGCGATGCGACCCAGCACAAATAGTAGCATCTTACACTTCATCAAATGCTCTCATCTACGACATTGAAACTGGGAAGCCTGTTATTCAATTAGAAATTGACAATTCAGGTGAAAAATTTATTTTATATAAACAAACCTAGATAAACATTTTGTTCTTGTTTGTTAAGTTCTTTGCTTTTTATGGTTTTTTAACTTCAAACCTAGTGTGGTGCTTATTGCACTTTCAGGGTAGACAACATATATTAAACATAATATTGCTCTCAGTAACCTGTTAGTCTAACATGTATATATGTTTATATATACACACACATTTTTTTTAATAATTACTTTAATAATTTACAAGGATCACTATTCTTATGCATTATTAAGTTATATAATCAAATTTGCTCTTCCTTATAATAATACCATGTAAATTTATTTACAGTAAAGTTTAAATCCACACTAACAGAATAATACCAAATTTATATGAATACCAGTTCTGACATTTCACATCTCATCTTCCATACAAATTTGCTATTGTTCTAGTGTAGATTTATACTTTATTGTAAATCACTCTTCATTATCTGGTTACTTCATGGGTAAGGGACAAAATTTGCTTGCATAACGTTTTACAAAGTGTCATGCAACAGGTATTATGTATCTTATGACAGTGATTATTAAAATATACTAACTTGGAGTATAGTGTGATAGTCTTCTGATCACTGATGGGCTCATGCTTCTGCTTGTTCTCGGTTTGTGTTGAAGTTCCATGTACTTACAGCTTTTATAAGGAAAAAAATGAGGAAGTCACTTTATGGTTTTCATAAGTTATATATTTTGTCGTTTGGTGTTGGCACTTAAAAAATTAATATTGTAAAAAATATTTTAACTGTTACTAATAGGCAGTGTCACTTTGCACTTTTCTATGAAAAATGTAGTGTATATGTTAAAACTATGGCATTGCATAATAATAACAGTAGTTTTTTGTGCGTAAACTACAGAGTGGGAAATGTAGATCATGTTTATAGTAGTAGTGCCCATATAGCAATAAGAATAATAATTAACCTGTTGTCTTTGTTCACGTGTGTGAACAAGTTTTACGTATTAAAAGATGTTTAGGGTTTCGAAATTATGAAAGTTACACCATGTGAACTATAACATCTTTATAATATGACAAATGAACCATTTCTATTTGGAAGTTGCATACATGGTTTTAACAGAATGTGGAGCACCATATTCTAGAAAAAATTTCCATGTTAAACACAAGTCATGAAAAAAAATTAGACAGTAATAACATATAAAGCTTGAATGTTAAAAAATAAATTTTATAGATGGTGTATTACTACTGCTGTATATTACTTTTTACAGATTTTTCTCATAAATTACAATTCACATGAGTATTCAAATTGCATAATTACAGTGGGATTTTCCAGACTAGTGAAAAAAAAATTGATGTAAGTTAGTGCTGTTTATGTAGTAATGTATTATTTGTTTAATAAAGCCAGTGGATCTGGATATTTTGGATTTTGTTACTAGAGAAAGTTGTTTACTTGGTTCTGCCAACTTCGAGTTGTGGGCTTATAAAATATTAAAAGGACTTATGAGTTTCATTGTGGTATCTCAAGTTTTCATGAAATTACTAAGATCATATTATTTAGATGAATAATTCAACACTAGAAGATATCAGTTAAGAAATCATGAAAAAAATATTTTCTAGCCATAAGTTCATTAACAGTACTGTTCCCTTCTTTAGATGTCGCTCCACTTAACAAGCAGATAAACAAAGTTGTCAGTCATCCAACTTTACCACTCACAGTCACAGCACATGAAGATAGGCATATTCGGTTTTTTGACAATACAACAGGTAAGTGTATTTTGAAACCAATCTGTTTGTATTTTTGATTAATAATTATGTAAGGTATTTTTTTAAGCTTGATTAATTTAAAACTTAAGAAAAGATAAAAAGAGTGAAGGTGTTCGACTTTTTTTCTTCTTATTATCCTTCTCACCATGGTTAGGTTAAAGGTACATTTCATGACCTTTTAAAGAGTTACATTCTAAACTTAATTAAACTACTTTATTATTATTGTATATGAATTAACTTGGCATCACAATGTAATTAATAAAGCAACTTTTAATAATATTTAAGATTTGAGTTCTTAATTTTATAAGAAAGTGTTTAAAAAAATTATCAATCTCCCATAGTATGAGAATTGTGACATTTGTTCTCTAGGTCTTCCCTCTTTAATTTATTTACCAATCCTGTCAGAGATGTGGAATATAATATCAATTACTCATTATAATATAGATATTACTAAGGAAAAGCATAAGTTTTATAGCCTTCAATCTTTTGTTTATGGAGCCATAAACTAGAAATTCCAATATGCTACATTACCTCTTTTCACAGAAACAGCTATTCTTGTTTACTGCTGCCCTTTACATTTTTTTTTTTTTTGATGCCACAATCTTTGAGCTCCCACATACCTTACAATCAATTGGTTCAAATGCATCTAGCATGTAAATCATCATGTGACAACCCTCCACCAGTAAGAGTGCGACATACACACTCCTGACTCCCTCTATTCGATTCTACTGAGCCATCACTTTCCATTTGGCAGTACTCATGTTGTAACATTTAGTTTGTACTATCTTCAAGTGTCTTTTTTTTTTCTCATATCTTTGTATCAATTTCTCTTAACAAGTTTACTATTTGTTATACAGTAGTGATATTTTTTAGCTGTTGAGTTATTCTGAAGTGGAATTTTATATTTTTACTCAGTTACAGAACTTTTTACTTCATTACAAAATTTTTTTATTTATTTTTGCCAACACAGTTTTGTTTGGTTACTCATTTTGAATTAAGAATTCTAAGTTACCACTTAAGAGGTTATATGTTCCATCAGCACATTTACACAGGCTTCAGGTGACAATACTCCACTAGTGAATTATCAGCTTTCCTTCGTTAGGAGACTGATTGTTCAGTGAGCTGAATTCTTCGAGCCTCAACTTGAGTTTGAGGGCCCACACATTTTGACATACAGTCTGCCGACTTTGGAAAGATAAGATGTTATACTGTTATGGTTTTTAAATACTTTTGTTGTTAATATTATTATCTGTAGTTATTTGGGTTTCATTACATTGGTTAATACTCATAGTAAGTTCAGGCTTGAAATTGGAATTAGTTGAATCCTTTGTCCTATATCATTCTCTTAAGCTTATCATGGGTCTTTGTTATTTTAGGATATCATGTGATTCATCTTACTGGTATATCGATCATTAGTTTAACTATATTGTTTATCTTCAGTACATCATGTCTTATACATATTGTTATTATTTTACAAAATAACATCTATTTAATTTTTGTTATTATTTATATTTTATATTTCTTCATATTAACTTCGTTTGTGTGGAAGTCTTGAGCCAGGGTCCGTACAAATTTCTCCCAATATTGTACATAATTACTGTTAGGTTAGCATTTTAAAATTTAGAGTGTGATATATTTTGTCTTGCAATATTCAATTAGGCTTAACAAGAGTGTTATTTTCGATTTACTTGTGGTTCTACTAATGGATTAATCAATAATTAGGTTAAATATATCATGTTTTCTCAAAACGACATGTAATAGATGTTTATTTCACTACACAATTTCTTAACATTTACAATATATGGACTATTTCATTTTCTTCATTCTTTATACTGCTTACCATTAATTTCGCTTGTGTGGGTCCCTGGGGCCGGGATCCACCCTACCTGCTCCCAATATTGCTAGTCTTCCTCCTACAATGGCTGAACCCATTTCAGATGTCCTAGATTTTTTCAGTTTTCCTCCGCATGATCATGGATTGCCTTCGCAGGCCTCTACTGCAGAATCTTCTAAGCCCATCCTAGTTTCTTTTAGACACGTTTTACAGTATATTCCCCTTCTCCTGACATTGTTCATGATGACCATTTTTGTCTCTCTTTTGAGAGTGGGTACTTGCAAGCCTTGCCCTACACAGGCTTTGATTCTTTTTGCCTTAGCTTACCATCTGGCATGTTTTTCTTCTTGATTATGTATCATTTGGCTCTCTGATAATCCTAACTAGATTTTCAGCTTCATAGTTCGTATTACTCTATCAGCTCTCCTACAGGTGATGTTTACCTTACACCTCCCTTCTTAGGTGTTCCACTTATATTTAGGTATTTTTGTGGAATACCTCATTCTCCTTCCCTCCACGTTGTGGTGTCTGGCATTTTCCCGTCCTTTACATGTCCTACCTACAGGTTTCTCCATTTGTCGTGTGTGCTCTATGCTGATTGGAGTTCTGGATCGATCAGTCCTGCCTCAGTCACTTCTTGGGTCTTCTTCGTTTTAATATGTAGTATTTCATTACATTTCGGTAGGCTATTTCTGCAGGACTGAGAATGCCCACAGTACACGTTCTTATTTTTCCATTTCTCGGGAATCTATCTTAGGTTTTTTCACGACATGATTCGGTACCAGTTTCATGCCTTGCCCTTTGGACTTGTTTCGGTTCCGTATGTCTTTTGTCGGGTGGTCTGCATTTTTTCTGACTTCCATATCTTGGGGGATTTTACCAATGCCATTAATTGGATATCTACTCATTTTTTTTCCACAGTTAGCTCAGGTACTTGGATTTTCCATTTGGATAAGTTTATCCTGTTACATACCTGACATTCTAGTCTCTTTGGGGAGTGTATTTTTAAACACCCCATCCATTAGGACCATCCATTCACCTCCTCGATTGCGCTCAATGGAGTTTTCTGTTATCCATGCCATTACGGTTCACTATCATAATGCTAACGAGGTTCTAACGCATTGGGAGATTTGGTTTATATGGGAGCACTTCTCCCTTTGGGTCTAGCATATTTGCAATATTTTCAGAAGATGTTGCATGACCTGTAGTCTTCTGCTAGGGTTTCTTTGGATTTTCCTCTTAAATTTCATCCTTCTCTCTTTGACTATATGCATTGATGGTTGAACATATTCCACACAATGTCGGGTTTACCACTTCCTCCCCCTCTTCTGGATTGTTTCTCTTCCCTGATGCTCATCTCCAAATGTGGGGTGTATGGTTCAATCAGTAGGAGGCCTCAGTATAATGGTCTACAGACAAAACGTCTTATCACCTTAATGGTTTGAGTACGACCTAAGTAGGTATGCAACTGTCATAAAAGTTCTTTACAAAAATGAAACTAGTATTTGAAATTCTTTTAAATTTGAGATGAAAGGTCCTATAAGTATGTAGTTTTTGAAAAATATTTAATTTTGATTTTTTCTAAAGCAATGTTTTTCTCATGCTTTTTTTATTTTCGCATGTTGGATAAAGTAATTTTCAATTTAAGATTAAAAATACTTTTATGCATCAGAAAATTTTGAAATTTCACATGCTAAATCCTTATAATATCCAGAAAAACTTTATATTTTATCTGTTATTTTCACTAATGAATATCTGTGCGAGTTTGGTCAGTTTGATCAATCTCGTAACCACCATGAAAAATGAGGAAATATATATAAATTATGCCTTTTTCTTTCTAGAATGACTACAAGTTATAACACGAAAACATAAATGTTTAGGCTAAATACCTTAAATCTCATAACATTATACATTTATATAGATTTATTATTTTTATTATATTGATCTTTCAGCCATGCATGTCTAACAATACAATGACGCAGCACACGTACACTTATGTTACCGTATCCAATGATATAAAACTGACATTGTCTCTACAAAGTGACCTGTCTTGGTTGTGTTTTAGTGGACTATTATTTTGTAAAATACAGTAACATTTCAATTATTATACATTATATAACTTCTTAAACTTATCTTTCTTAAAAATAGAACACTAAGTAAAGAACTAAAGCAAATCTTCCGGTTCTGACTTTTGTACTCATTTTTGCTTGCTGTAGGTTGCTAAGCTTTATCAAATTTTGCACATCGAGGTTGTGAAACAAAATCATTTTTTTAAGGTTTTATATACATTTGAATAACCAAAAAATCATAGATTGCTATATCAGTACCATAGAACTCAATTATAATTTATCAATTTTAGTAACAAGACTGTATTTAGGTCCAAAAAAATATTAAATTTCAAGCAGACTAAAGACTCGACTTACATCTGTACCATCTTGTATCGAAAGAAAGATATGACAACTTTATATTTGAAAATGGCTGAGAAGGCCACTAGGGGACATTCTGAGCTTTCAATTGGTTATTCACATGTCATATATAGAAGTAAGTGTATATAAGGGACCATTTCCAAAAATGGAAAGAGGTGAGCCAAGCCACTGCATTTGATTCAGTGATGAGAGGTATCTCAGCGAAAAAGAAAAGATATGAGGTTCTTATTTTATATTCTAGCTTGTCAATATCAGTAATTTGATTTCCTAATTCATACAAAACTATAGAATTTGTATTTTGACATCACAAACATCTAATTTGAACCAGTGCTGCATTCAACATACTACGTGACACGCAAAAATCGATGTTTAGGTGTGTTACTTTTAAATTAAGAAATTAACTAATGTATAATACTAAAATTTGAATTATAATCTACAGTTTGATACCAAACTTAATTACGTAAATACATAAAATTGAAGTTCAATAACATTTTGAATGCAAGTCAACAAACTTGATTGACATGGTCTTTGACTTGTGACCCGTGTGAAAAGGGTTAATACTCTGGCACTTCCATCAGTCCAATGTGCTTTAGTTCACCCACTTCTTGTCCACAATGGAGGTACTTGCAGATTAATATGGTTCTTCCTCTTATGCTATCCCTCAGTAATTTTATCATACCAAGGATGTTACTGCGCAAGGGGCAGTTCCTGTTGGAATTGTTTTGAGTGAGACAGTTTACATTACGGAGACATCTTTACAATATCGGCCACTCTATACCTAGGGGTACATCCTTTTACTCTCACCTACATTAATTGAGATTCTGATATATATTGTGGTTTGGATCTCTATCCAATCATTCTCTTCTGTTTTCTGTCCATGTCTGTGACACCTCTTTTCAAGCTGGGTGAAATGTATACCTGGTACAGAAGTGGTGCAGTCTCCCATGTATGATCCTCTCCTATGAGGGTCTATCCTTTTAGGGTGTTATTTGGATGTTTTCGAGAAGTGCTGCTTTGTTTTTCTCTCACACAGTCCCTCCACCTATTCAATGTGGGATTCTAGCTATTTATGTGAGAACAAATAATGTACTGTATTGGAAGTTATAACTTTCCTAAACTGAAAATATATTTCTGATAGGCACTCACTTCCGCTCACACTTCCCACCCTTCCTCCCCACTAAAAACTGATGCTTCCATGTTCTGCCAAAACTTGAAGTGATAGTTCAGTAGAATCAAATTGAGGGAGTCATATGCATCAGGAGAGTGTGTTGCACTCTCATTGGTGGAAGGTTGTCACATGATGACTTACATGCTAGATGCATTTGAACCAGTTGATTGTAAAGTATGAGAGCTCAAGGCTTATGGCTTACAAAAAAATTTTCATATACAAGGCAGCACCGAACAAGAATAGCTATTTATATGAGAGGAAATATATTTTCAGTATAGGAAAATTATAACATTAGATGCACTTTCCCTGCCCACCTGTTGCATCCTTTCTTTCACAAATTGCCAATAGTTCTCTCTGACGTTTTATACTATTATTTCTAACCAATAGAATACCAAAGCTTTAATCCATCACATAACATATCGTATTTGGTTGTTTTCTGTTCAGAGTACTGTCTATTTTGCCTCCAATTTGAAAATTTCTGTCACGTTATTCACATCAACAAGTTTAGCTGAATTTTTAGAAGCTCTTATCGCATAGTTATTATTCTGTGTTCTTAAGTGCATTATTTAATTAAATAA